AACAAAGCAGTTTGGTTCAAATTTCACTCACACTATTTGAATGGGAACTGTGCTGCATATGTAAAACAGATCTGTGGTCTGAAAGAAACGCAGAGGGCTTTAAAAGGCTCTAAATATATGGGCGTCTCTTACTGTTCCTGTATCAGTCCCACAGCTAGTGGGAGCGAACCTGGCCCCTTCCACTGTTCTCTAATCTGGTTATAGACTTGCTCTGTCTCTTTGTGTATGTGAGGGGACAGAGCCATGCCTGTCCTGCTGTTCAGGTCTTCCCCCTTTTATCCCTGCCTGGCAACAACACCAAGCAAGAGCAGGGCCATTTGAGACTTACAATTCAAAAGCTAACCTGGCATTAGGGTGATAGTGGGCACTGCTACTCTTTAGGAAAACAAGGAGTTCTTTGAAAAGCAAAGTTAGTGAAACCATGTTTCTTACAGCTTTGTAGGTTGTGACTTAACCTAAACATCTTCAGCACCTACTTCTCTTGTCCTTTGTTAATACTCCCTCCACCCTTCTCCCTAGGAATTGCATTCTAGCAATAGTCCCCACTTTTCTGTGTCCCTTACTTTTGTCCCCTGTTTGACATGCTATCCAAAAACTACATAAGTACGGACTGGCCAGCTGAGAACAGTCTGGTATAAAGCAAAAATATTTTGAGATATCTGCCCCTTTGTCAGTATTTCTTTAGCAGACAATTTCTGGGGGGCTTGCATCACTCTCCTTTGAGATCTCATTAGCAGCTTTAAAAGCTCAAGTTACTTGAAAAGAGCAGGAAAAAACTGAAACATTAAACTTCTCTATGTTTGTCATTCTGATTTGGACTGATATTTGCCAAGATTGATTCACCAGTCACTAATACTTGTTGCCTTGGAAAATGTCTTAAGCTTTATCAAAGAGTTAATGCAATGGAGTGTTATTGCTCTATAGAAACCTGATTTGTTTTCTCATTGCTAACAAAATGACTTCTTTTTCTGTTTTTCCTTTGAAAACTCTGTGTGTGAACTGTTGTTCAAATAGGGAGTAATTAAAATTTTAAGAGCTTTCTGTGCTTTAAACTACTTGATCACTGGGATATATTGATAACCAACCCTAGCCCTTTTTACATAAACAATTCAGTGATGTTTTTTATTGCTCCCCTAATGCAGCAAAGCATTATTTCTGGTCTTGTCTACATCTTCACATTGACCTGAAGGTATAAATCTTTAAACTGTGTTCTTCACTACTTTGGTTGCAGTGTTAGTGCCTTGCCACATGAAAAATTACGTTCTTTTAATTTATTATAGGAGAAAGGTCCTCTGTTTTACACTTCACTTGGCTTTCTGTTCTATAGATCAGATATTCTGAAACAAGTATCACAAGTTTTACACTTGATATTCTGATATAGATTTACTGGCTATATTATACTTAACATTCTCAGAGTAATTTTGGTACCACCATAAAATTTAAGATTCATGGAGTAAAAGGACAAAAGGAGCCATTATATCATCTTCTCTGATCTGTGGATGCCTTATATTTAATCCAGTTACTAACATATTGAGCCAAATGTCATGAACTTGATTAAATAATGTCATCCAGAAAAGCTTTCATCCAGTGGCTCTTGTTACACCTTTCATGGAAATTTGGAGAAGTTAATCCCCCCAGTCCTCCCTTTCTAAAGGTCCATGTGTACTGTAATTACAGAACACAGAACTCTATACACCATCTTTGAAATAAACTAAGCATTAAAACTCTGACTGCAAGGCATTTGCTCCCATTCCCAGTCATTGTTGTGGCTCTTTATTGCATTCTCCAATATTTTCAAAAATCCCCTGTAAAAGTAAGGGCAGCAGAAATATACAGTATATTCCAGCATACTTTTTAAAAAATGTTCCATTTACAGATAGGGTCATATTTTCTTTCTTATTTCTCACTGCTGTCCATTTCTACATCCTTCTTACCTTAGCAAGAGAACTCATGATTTATTTTTTTTCAAAGCTCTGACTATAGCTAAATCCTTTGTGGTCTATGACACACCTCTCTCTTCTGTTGACTCCTTGGTTCTGTGATTGCAAGGTGGATTCCTATTACCTGTAAAAAAAAAAGGCAAGTAGGGGATGTCCATGGTGACTAAAAAAGCCTGAATGTTACACTCACCTTTCAGAAAATTAAGAGGGACTTGGCAACTATGTGTGGCTGAACCTTATCACAGTCCATGGAAATATAATGGAGTGTGTCCGTTTCGAATTAATTTCCAAGCATGCGAGGGATAAATAGGTAGTCAAAAATTATCTACCCAATTTACCAAGAGAAAAACATGCTTGACCAACATGGCTGTTTTCTATGATTAAACGGCTTTTGACGTGGATGAGCAGGGAACAATAGATGAAACTCATGTTGACATCAGTAAGGTTTTTGATACTGCCTCCCTCAACATTCTCATTTAGAAGCTGAGGAATATATGGATGGGATGAATGAACTGGTTTGGGTAGGTTGAAACTGTCTGGACTTCCATGTTTAGATAATAACTTGCTATCTAGTAATGAGTGGCTAAATACTGTGCATCAAGGATAAATAGTGAAGCCCCTATTATTGAACAGCTTTATCAATAATCTGGAGGATAAAATTCTTTAGAGAATATAAAGAGAACTTTAAAAGAATGTTTAAACACAGCATTACATTTGGAGCATTGACTGGTAAATGACAGAACTTCAGTCAAGGCAGTCTTAAGGACTGGATCAAAGGAATGTCATGGATTTCAAGAAAAAGCATACATTCCACACCAGGGGCAAAATAATAGCACATAACATTATGTCTTGGAAGGGACAATCAAAGCTCGCAGTGCTTTCATGGCCCTGGTAAGTAAGAGAAATAAAATTAGCAGTCTAAGACAAGTCATTTTTCTCCTCTGCTCAGCACTAGTGATACTGGAAGACTTCATCCAGTTTTGGGCTCCACTATTCAAAAGGACAGTTAAGAGATTGGTGGATGTCAGCAGAAGACTGTCAAGATGGTCATGGGCCTCAAACATGTGACCTACTTGGAGAGGTTGAAGGAGCTGGAATTACTGAACTTGGCAGGAGTAAGCTAAGGTGCAGTCTAACAGCTGCCTACAGATACTTGCAGGCAGTTAAAAAGATGATGGAACCAAGCTCTTTTCATTGATGGCAGATGGTATAAAGAGGCCAAAACCTGCATTTTGGGAGGTTTACTACCCATGACATTAGGAAGGAATCTTTCATTTGGAGGGTTGTGCAGCACTGGAACAGGTTCTATTGTTGGAGGGGATGGACTGACCAGACAAAACTACAACTGACCTGACCTCTTGTAGGAGATTGATGTGCCTTGGATAGGAAGCTGAAGTAGATGAACTCCAGGCATGCCCTCCAATCTAAGTTCAATGATTCTGTGATGTACAGTGGTCTTTCTCTAGATTAAAGTACCAAATATCCTATATGACTATTCAGAATTTCTAATAATTTAATATTTTGTCAGTCATCTTATCCCATCAGTAAACTTTATCCATAGTATGCAGTCCGTACAATCAAATTGTTGTTGATAATGTTGAAGGTGAGGCCTCCTGGAGAAGTGCCACTATGTTTCCTTCCTTAATCAGTGATGACTTTTTTTGATACGTAATTCAGTTATTTGTTAATCTATACCCCTGATGAGGTGTTTCTGTTTAGTAATACTGCTCAGGCAAATGTCTAATATTTCACAAAAGCTTAAATGTAAAAAAAGCACAATTGCCTTTATTAATCAAGCATGTAATTTTCCCTCAAAAATTGAAATCAGGTTTGTTTGTTTTATGACTATTTTTCCATTAAATCATAGTGACTTGTACTGATTATCTTTCAAATCTGCTAGTTTTGCTTTGGTTTGTCATTAATACAATCCTGTGTCAACTGTTCCATCTCTTTGCCTGGGACTGATACCAGATGACCTTGAGCTTCATGGTGCCCTTTTGGTAAAAGACTTATCTTTTTCCATTATTCTGGAATTTTCCTCGTATTCCAGGACTTTCCACACATGAATATCAGTAACTCTGAAATTGTTTGTTCAGCCCTTTAATGAATCTTAGATTCCCATTATCAGGGCCACCTGGTCTTGAAAACATTTAGCCAATACATCTTTAGCTTTTTTAGACTAGCCCCATAGGAAGTGCTTGCATGTATGCACACGCATCTTGTGGATGCTCTCTTTTACTTACCCCTGCTCCAGTCTAGTAAGTGCATTATTTTTATTTATTACAAAGAGATCCGAAACACCTGCTTTGTTTTCATACTGAGGTGCATCTTTGGGTCAGATCATTCTCTCACATCCCTTAAAACACTTTCGATCACATTTTTTCCCCATATCTATCTTGTAATGACACTAATTTTCTTCCCATACAAACTTGAGCTTAAGGAGTAATTTATCCTCATGCTTCCTTTGATCAATAGTTTTGTATCAATAGCTTACTTTGATCAATAGCCTTTTCTTAGCACATTGATCTGTATTTATCTGAATTCCTTCAGGTTTGAATTATGTTATGGTTTTCATAAGTTTTGGTGTTCATGTACATATATGTGTGTGTATATTTGTCTGCATTCCAGCTTTCTGGAATAAATTATAGCCAGAGATATTTAAAGATGTCATTTTTGGCAAAGAGTAGTCTCCAAAGTTTAGAAAAGATCAAGTGGTGTTTCTCTGATGAGATGAAATACAAAGCCTAAGTTAAATTATTTATATTATTGCCATTACCACAGGATCTCAGTACCATCTATACTTAGTGTTTTCTACTTGAACCTCTCAGTGACCCTCTTTGCATTGTTGAAAAAACTGTAAACTTTGGTTATTTTTCTAGAGTGATAAAATTAACCCCTTACCTTTTTCAGCATCCAGATAACCAGAGCTGTTCAGGAGGGATGCTCTGGACTAAGCTCTGATCTTTCATCTCTCTGCCTAGGAACCAGACTGCATGAGAGAAATGCACTGCCTCAGCTGCTCTTCCTGCTCTGCTGCCCTTGTCACCCTTTTCCCTTAATACCAGTTCTGCCCTTGGGACAGACATAAAACAAACTACATCTTTCCCCCTCTCCCTTCCCCATGGTGCTACCGTCAAGTTTTTTCAAGGTGGGGGTTACTTTCCACTTGATAAATATTTTTGATATTTAAATATAATTGTTGGTACAAGTTAATCCTGTGTAAACACTCTCTAGAGTAAAGGAAAAATACACAGAAGGACAAGTAGAAAAGAGTTAGCTGTAAACTAAGAGTCAGAGACTGTAAGAAAAAGGTTTGTTTGCTTCCCTCTAATTGTGTAGGTACAAATCTGAGAAATTAAAAGAATTAATGTTCTATTTCTTTGCCCCTGTTCCAAGTTTTTGGCCTGACTCTGCTTAGTAGAGTGCTAAAAGGGTAAATAGCCTCATTGTAATAAAATATGGAGAGTTAGCTGTGTGTTTGTTTTGATTCCACCCCATTTGCCAACCTATGCTCTAATCTTAAAGGGAGAATCACTCACTGAATAAAGCAGTAAAGATAACTGGTAAAAGAGCTGCATAATTATTGCTTGAAATTGTCAGGACCAGCTTCAGTAGAAAGTACTTACAGGAGCAAGGCCAATGATTACTTTCTTTGAACAACCTTTCCAGTGTTCTCTAGGAACATTCACCATTATTTTTTTTTTTTCTTTTTTAGAAGTCATTTCATGTCTGTTCTAAGAAGAGGATATTCAGTGATAGTGATGAATTTCACAACGGTAAGTAAATACTATAATTTCAGTGACACTACTTCAACCAATCAACCTTTTTCACTGACCTGAGTGATTTTGAAGTTCCTGTCTAGATAGTTAACTGAAAATATTTTGAAGTGTCCTTCTTGCTTTTCTTCTTATTTACAGTGCTGTGAAATACACCCAACTGCAGGCACCAATTACAAGCAAATCTCCAAAAACTACTGAAAATGAGGTGCTGCTAAAGCCACTGGATAATAAATTCAGTTGGACTGCTGCATGCCTGCAACCTGTAATGCTTCCAGTCGCTGAATTCATTCATCTGGAGCTGGCTTGGACACCTCCTCCTGCCACCTTGCAGACAGAGCTTAGAATTCAGCTCTGCTTAGAAGCTGCTGTTGGGTTGACTTCGCAGAAAGCTCCATATGGCAGGAGCCTTGAGTGTTTTGAGAACATGCTTTTACTTGTCACTTGTGTTCCAGTAAATGTCAGCATAATTGAATTCCCCATGATCAATGTCTGGGCTTTTTTACAAGTCTCCTTTTTTCATGTATAAATGCTTCCTGTTCTGCCTTCTAATCCTGCCCTGGAGATGCATAATAGTTCCTTATGACTGTTATTTTTTCACTATTTTCACTCTCATCTCAGTCCAAACTCTTTCAGCTGTGGTAAGCAGACTATATTTGTAAACTTTTCCCTCTGAGATAATGTTCTTCCTCACATATGTTTGCATATAAATGTAGTGCATCCTGCTACTTGAATGTTAACATTGCCAGTTCCTTGGTTTATTGATACTGAGATGGGGTAGTCACAATCCATGACTTCATTATTTATGATAAACATGTAAGGATAAAGAGGGAAAAACATCCTGGATCTCCCTGTGTTTTTTTTATGATTCTCTTTTGTAAGCAGGGTGAAAAACTAAGTGAGTGAAGTGAGGCTGTCTTATTTACACATGAACACTTCTCAGGAGATCTGTGACAGAGGTATTGTCTTAGAAACTTAAGAAACTTCTAGTCCAGTCTCAGGTTAAGACATATGAAATTTTCCTGACCTTAGAAAGTTTTTGCAACACTGGTGATTCTACATTTTTGATACAATACCTTATGATTTTCTCACAAATCTAACTTTTTATTGTTCTTTTGGACATCCTTTCCTAGTCCTCTCTTCATTTCTATTGAGTCTCTTCCCGTGGTGCTCCTCTAACTTCACATACCATTTTCAGCTGACATCAACCACATCTCCTGTTAGATTCAACAGGCTGCCCATGTGAATTAACTGTCCACATTAAGTAGGGGAACTATGTAAGGTGTTCTACTTCTTTTCCTCCACCAGGAACAGACACCAGGTTATTCAGAAGCACAGACATTGAACCACCATAAACCAAATAATTCTCTTTTTTTTTTTTAACCTACACCTTCTTGCTAAAACTTTTTTCCCCCATTTATTTCACTTTGAGAAACCCCAAGAAATACATACCCAAACCTAAACAGCTTCTCCCTTTCTTTAAAATGCTCGCTGACACTGTGGTCATGTCCCCACGTGCTTTCTGGAGCCTCTACCTCTTCTTTCAGTAGTCCAAAGCAGGGACACAAGAGTAGTCAGCCGTACAATGTCATGCCTGCATTTGGTTCCCCGCCACATACCCTTTGTTTATTCTACGAAACATCAGCTGCTTCTTAGCATCTTCATGGATTTGTGCAGATTTCACTGACCCTCTCAAATATCATTTCTTATGGTAGCTGATTCTGTTCTTTCACAGCACTGATTGTCCTTTAGATCAGAAATCTCTGTCTGGTGCTTGTCTCTCTTGTGGTAATGAAACAATCAGCACCTTCATGACACACCAGGTCACTGCTCTCCTGCTACAGAAATCTTCCTGGAAGTCTTGCTACTCTATAGTAGACTTAAACAGCAACTTATATCACAGTGCTTTCACCAGGGAGGTGCATAGGGGAGAAAAAAAATGCACTCTAGGACTTGAACTTGTCTATCTCTCTCTCTTGGATGGTAGTCTAGTAGTTGTGGGGAATGTCTTTACTGTTCTCTTCAGTATAGAATTGTGTATTCTTTTAATGACTAAGGTTTAACTGTGGAGGGTGATTTTTTTTTTTTTCCCTTCCCCTTAGGAATTAGAGGGCAGCAGATATAACAATGAAAAGGAATGCAATAGGTGGAATACTTTTTTAGAAAAGTAGATGTGATACAGATCATGATTTTAGACTTATTAGACCCTGAGACAATTTTAACTTCTCCATGATGATTTATTGATATTATTCTGCTCCCTATGCACCCCCCTACTCTCCAGCTGCCCATATTGGGGCAACACTAATTAGGTTTATTAATGTGATTAAGATTTTTATGCCTCTTTTAAATCAAATATAAAACTTCAGATATTTCCTTCAGTGTAATACTTAACTATTTTATATAAATAAGGAGAAAACCATACACTCAATTTAATTTAATCTTGAAAGTGAAAGTACCGATGGTAAATAATATCAGACATTCAATTTTGTCTAATACAATTCTAACACTTCTGGGTGAAAATTAACTTAAATACAGCTTTAGAGTGAAGGGCAAATAGAGAAAACAACATTCCCTCAATAGATGAACATGCAGTAGAGACTAACACTCTAGGTGTGGCTTTTCAGGTTAGTCCAGCTTCTAATGAGCGAAGATGATATTGGCCTGCCAATACTGCATTACTGAAGCAGAAAAAGATGGTCTTGATGTGCTGACTTCAACTTTTTCTGTTCTAGAGATAAGGAAATGCATCACTGTACAACAAGAAGGTAAGTGGTGTGGAGGGGGTGTGGTGAGGGGTGTTTTTAAAGAAATCTTGAAGACAGAAATATATGTAAAGATTGGTAAGTTTGACCACAGGGTATAAAGTATGAGATGTTGGAATCCTGAAAAGGCCAACAGGGTTGGTATGTCCTTGCCCCTAACATACCTGGGACCATCAGGCAGGGATTAAGAAAGGGTGATTGAGCTGAATCATTAGGAGAAAAACTTCTGTTGCTTTGTTCTGCTGTGTAAAATGTTGAAAGGATGTGCCAAGTCAGGTATGCAAGCCTTCATCCATTCAGACACACAGTGGAAAATGTACTTTAAGAAGAAAATATGTGACGTGTTCCCTGCTTGTACTTCTGGTTATTTTGCTTTCCCTGTGCTTATCTTTTATACCACAAGCCATAAGAGTTATCATTATTATTAATAATTCTATTTCTGAGTATCTAAGTCCCATACAGGGAAGTCCTGTTCCTCTCAGACTCGTAATGCTATTCCTGAATCAGAAGACAGTTAGCTACAGGACAGTTAGTACTTTTCCGGAGTGAAGGAAGAGAGCCTGGGCATAAAAATTCTTCTCTCCATCTGCTAGTGTGATGCAGACCTTCTAGGATATCCCATGCAACAGCTAATCTTTCTCTCCCCAACTCTTGTAATGGGTGTGGTTCTCAGTTCCTAGGGAATTGATGTGAGGTGCTGGAATAAACTGACATAATTTTGGAAGGGATAATGTCGGAGATTTTGCAAGAGTCATTCTGACACTGAAATTGTTCTCTTTACCTCACTTGGATAGAATTATTTTGCAACATCCCTTGATAAAAAGCAAAGTGTAGGAAACAACTAGAATATAACATCAATCTTGTACAGAAAGGTATAAAACAAGTGTATTAAAGTAAATGAAATTAAACTGCAGCAAGCAAAGCTAAGGAGGGATATGTTGCAGGCCTGTTAAGTCATGAATGTTGTGAAAAATGTGAGCAAGGAGTGATTAGTCATCATTTTTCACTGTGGAATAACTAGCGGGCCTCAGTGAAACTATCCTGTAGCAGATTTAATGCAAACAAAAGAAAATCTTTATGATGCATATTAAAATGTAGGAATCCGTGTGGGACATTTTGGAGGCCAAAAGTATAGACAGTGCTGGAATGTATGTGGATAAATAAATGAAGATTAAGTTTGTTTGTGGCTATTCCATGCATCCATTTAGATGCAAGCTTCATGTCAGACACTCCCACTGATAGCTAGAAATGGGGGATTACAGCATAGGAAGAAGCCTTTTATGTGTGCTCTGTTCTTATTCTGTTCTGTAAACATCTGCTGCCATCAGCTCTTGGAGAAAGGATCCTGAATATATGGACCTTCAGTCTGAGACACAGCAGAACCATTTATAGGAAACAGCTGATAGCTTTCTGGAACCCAGAAGGATGAAACACATCTTCACTTGGCTGTGTTTCAAGCAAATGGTTAATAAGAGATTTGGAGTGAACTGACAAATCTAAGTCTATTTGATAATAATGTTATCGTAGCTGTATCTCTTGAGGCAACTGCAGTGTACCTGGTGATCTTTCAGATTTGTAATGATAACATTAATTTAATTGCAAAATGTTAGCATTAGTTACACATTAATATCAGCTGCATAGCATGTTTGTCATACACAGCATAAACAAAAAGCATATTCCCATAGGTTTAGAAATCCCTCACTGAAGTTCTGAATGTTTGAAGAAATAAGAAAGTATGATGAATTAACAATTTTCAGGTGTTATTATACGGAAATATAACAGTTTTCATATCAGAGACTGTAAAAGTCCCTGTTTCTAGGTTATTTTCTCCTTTCCCTCAAAATCAAATGTAAAAAAAACACATTTTCACAGTTTAGGGAGTTTAATTGTTTATCTACTCAAAGGGAAGGGGAAAGGGAAAGGGGAGGGGAAAGGGAAGTTAGAAAGGGGAGGAGGTGATGAATGATGTCTGGGACTGGCCAAGGGTAATTTGAAGGGTGTATACTGTATCTGTGCACAGCTCCTATTCATGCACAAAGATCCTCCAGAACATATTTGGTGAGCCTAGACAGCCCAAACAGCGATGAGTCCTGTGCTGTGCTCTGAAGAGGACAACTCTTTGTTGGAACCTCTTTCACAGTGAGAAAGGCAGCCATAGTTGAAGTCTTCCCACTGCAAATGCTATTCTCCAGCCCTTGCCAGGTCTGCCCTGGGAACTATCTGCTGAAATACTTCTTGTAGTCATCTGCAGCTGTAACTCGCAGGTGTAGAGCAAGGTGATGTCTCCATAGGACAGCAGATGCTGATTGAACTGTAGGATGTATGGGAACAAAAAGTATTCTTCCTGAAGCATAACAGTGATGTGGCAGTGGTCTTTGTATGCAATGACATGGTACCAAGCAAGAGCATGTGTCATAATGCATGAATGATTTACAGCCAGATGTGCAAAGCAGGGAAAAAGATTCTGTACCAGAGAAGTGCTTGTAAGACACGTTATATGAATATCTATTTGTGTTTTGAAACGTATTCACTGTGGCAGTGTTTGTGCCACTCTTTATTTGTTTTAGAGCACTCGTTAAAACCAAATCTACTGGCAGAAATTTTTACAGATCTAGCAAAGGTCAAACAACTATCACAAGCTTAGAAAGCAAAAGTTGTATTTATGTTGGTTGAGAACTTATGTTGAAAAGGGCACAAGCTTATTCTTTCAGGTATGTGACTCATAGAGTACCACATGACCTCCTTTTCCAATGGAAAAAGGTCACATTTCAGATAGAAAATATTTTTAGAAGCAAGAGAAAAATAATTTTGAAAGTATTAAATTTTTTAAAATTTTTAGGGAGAATATTTATAGGGAATAACTATTTTCAGAGAAAATAACTATTCTGTGACAAATGGTTCACTGAACTGTTTTGAGCATGAAATGGGTATTTCAGTTACGCTATTGTGAACTCCAGTCTGTGAGACAATCAGTAAGATAAAAAGGTGAAACGTTTTCTATTACTATAGTAGGACAGCATGTGAAGCTGAACTCTTTAAATCATCCCCCTGGAGATCTTGGAAAAGATGCTTGTAGGGTAGAAAATATTGACTACATATTGTAGTCATTACACAGTAACCTGACTTCTTTCCATGTAGAATTTAAAGATTCCAGGAGGATTCACTTTTTGAAGATGTGAATATTTGATAGTCTTGTATTTGAATAGAAGTGGTACAGTGACAGACAAATTCAGCAAGTAAATTTCTGTTTGTTGTAAGTATAATGCTTCACATACACAAGGAAAACAAAGCTGTCTTTCCTAAATAAAACCCTGTTCTGCTTCCTCTACTCAGAATGACTGGCATCTGATTATATAGTAAAGATGCTGAGCTAATCAGCTTTTATTAATTGTTCTCTATGGTCATATACTACAAATGAAAAAAAAAACAAACTAAACAAACAGAAAATAAAACAAACAAAAGCCCCTGAAGAACTATCATGCACTTACTTGTTTTTTAACAATTCTTTTTTGATTTGAAAGAATGGTAAGGAAGGCCACTCCTTACAGCTGGCCTGGAATGATTGAGCTCAAAATTGATAAACTTTGCCCTGCAACATGAGACAGTGAGAAAAATTCACATAGCATCTAAAAGTATTGGAAATAATATTCAGGTGCACACAACAGTCCATTAAATCCTACATTTTACATCAGTCCCAGAGTCTTTATGGAAAAACTAGGAAGATCAGCCCTTGAGCTGCTAGTGGTTTCACCTGAGTGGTGACATTTATTTATTTGTGTGAGGGACAGAAGTAGCCATTCCCAAATGAAAAGCAGAGTTTAAAAAAAAATAAGGAAGGAACTGCACTCAGCTACACGTTGGTTTGGCACTCAGTGTTCTGTCTCTTGGCCTTGTTCTGCTTTGTGGTCTCAGGGCTAGAAAATGTATTTTGTTCCAGCAATTAAACTTTCATTTTACGTTACTCAGGATCAAAATTTCTGGCTGAGAGATTGCCAACAACAGAAAGCTAAAATCCAAGGGTGGGGCACAGCATTGAATAAATTGTACGTGTTCTCTCAGAGGTTCTTTTTTGCTTCATACTATATCCAGCACAGAAACAAGGACATCTTTAACTAAGTTAAATATAAACTTTTGATTCCCTTTTTTGGGAACATGTGACTGCAAGGTGCCAAGCCTCATGTTTGGTCGTCAAATGGCTCTCAATTCTTTGCCTCTTGGACAAACTCAGCATTTCTCTGGGCTCAGTTATTACAAATTTTGAAGAAAAAACAGTGTATCCCCTTCAGACACTGCATTCATCCAAGCTCAGAAGAGAAATATTGTAACTAATGGACCAGCTTGACAACTTTATGAAGGTTAGATCAAATGAGTGTTTCCTACAGTCCCATTGTTTTCCATCCCACGGTTACAAAGCCACTGTTAAAAAACCACTGTTAAGCCATGTTATCTGATCAGGCCCTTGTAAACTCTATTATTCAATTAATCATTATTAACCAACCAAACAAAAAAATTTTTTTCACTTTTCATTATCTTGTTTAATGTCGAACATGTGCAGTTTGTATTCCTTGTGTTTCATTTTCCTTTGTCATGTTCACATCTGTATTACCTGTTCTGCCTTGTCTCACCTTTAAAAGGAGGACAACTGTGCTGTAAAAGTCACTGATCATTATATTTCTCAAGTCCTTAGGTCTCAGCACCATGGGGCTCGTGGTCTCATGAACAATCTAATGAGCAGAGGATTTGGTGGCTCTAAGTACAGATCTGAACAATGCTCTTGAATTTTGTTGAAGGATTGAAGCTTTCAAATGAGGATCCACAGGAAACACTATGATGAGCTGTTTAAACTAGTTTCCTAGAAATGCCAAGGGGAAGTTTGAACAAGATATATCAGACTCTTGGCACATACATTTTGGGGAAATGCTCTAGCTCCAATTGCTTTGAAATAGATGATCCAGTAACATGCGGTCTGCTGTGAATTACATATATCAGCAATCCAG